TCCCGCACACAGAGGAGAGACCATGTGAGGACACACTGAGCAGCCTAACCAGAACCCAACCCTGACAACACCTGGTCTTGGACATCCAGCCTCTAAAACAGAAAATCAACATCTGCGGTGCTCTGACAGCTCGAGTGACTCACGCACAGCCCTTCAATCTCCCCTGACCTCTTTCCACCCTTTTCGTCCGGTTGACCTCTCCACTGCCTTCCCCATACAGCCCAGACCCCAGGGCCCTCACCTTCATTTCAACCCAAATGCAAACTGGGGCATACATGAGCATGTCAGGAGACAACGGGACACCTCGGTCCCGCCACCAGCCGTCCTTTCTTGGCTGCTCAATTCCAGCATACAAGTACACAGTACCAGAATCCTTCACCCTTTTTCTCATGGGAAACCACTTTACCAACCAAAGCCACTGTTTATGCACGGCCCCTCATGCCTTCAGTCCTCCAAACTCCACTCACTCCCAAAGCGACTCAGGTCAGCACCTTTCCCTCACCCCCTCAAGTGAGGCTGCTTTGTACACTGGTCATACTGGTGCAGGTTTCTGTCACAGTCTGCATTCCATCCTGAGGTCCCTCAATCTCCTAAATGGTTCTTTCAATTTGCATACAAATATATTTCAATACGATGTTTTAAAAATCACACGACCACACAGCATAGTTTCCCTGGAAGATCTCTGCTTCACTGATCCAGGTCTCCCCCCAACTGCTCTTCTGTTTACCACCTCCGCAGCTTTACCTTCGCCAGAGTGCTCTGCAAAGAGAGTCACACAGTGTACAGCCTGTCACACTGGCCCCTTCAAACTCAGTCAGGTGCATTAAGGCCCCTCCACGTCTTTATATGTCTTGAATGCTCATTCCTTTGTATTTCGGAATTTGAATTGCTGATGGGAATGCAAAATGGCACGACCAGTTTGGAGGACCATTTCTGGCAGATTTTTAAAAGGTTAAACACACACCTACCATAGGATCCAACCTTACCATATACCATATTCCTAGATAGGGAAGAGGAAGAAATGACATCGAGTACAGCTCTGATTTTTGCCATCTTGGAAATTAATGTTTCACTTACTCAAAAAATAATTAAATACAATCAAACTGGATGTGAGAAGAACCAAAATAGAACACAAACAATAAAACAAATAAAACTAACTGCATTATAAATAACTCTAACAAAGAAGTAAAGAATAAAAAAACTAAACAACTTTGGAACACTACACAACAAACTTTGGGATGCTAAAGCCAAAAAGAACTAGAGCTGACCCTTGAACAACAGGGGTCCACTTACAAACTTTTTTCAACAAACACGGTACAGTACTGTAAACGTATCTTCTCTTCCTTATGACTTCAATAGCATTTTCTTTCCACTAGCTTGCTTTATTATAAGAATACTGTAGGAGCGCCTGGGTGGCTCAGTCGGTGAAGCGTCTACCTTCAGCTCAGGTCATGATTTCAGGGTCCTGGGATCGAGCCCCGCATCAGGCTCCCTGCTCCACGGGAAGCCTGCTTCTCCCTCTCCCTCTGTCCCTCCCCCCAACTCATGCTCGGGCTCTCCCTCTCTCAAATAAATAAATAAAATCTTTAAAAAAAAAAGAATACTGTATGTGATACAGAAAACACACAAAATATGTGTTAATCGACTGTTACATCATTTTGCTGGTAAGGCTTCTGGTCAACAGTAGGCTAACAGCAGTTATATTTTGGGAAGTCAAAAGTTATAGGCCTCTTTTCAACAGCACAGGGAGGTCAATGCCCCAACCCCCTTGTTGTTGAAGGGCCCACTATATATACAAATATTCTAGTTAGTAAATTTGTTTTTCACAGGAGTGAGGATTAGCAATTCTGAAACTAATTTGTATATATCTTAAGACTGAGAAAATAAGTAAATATATTGTAGATAAGGAAGCCAGGTTTCTCACTATTGGTTAAAGGAATTAAGATTAAGGAGGGGGGGGAAGCTAGAATGATTCCTGTGATGTTGGATGGAAACTGAAGGTACTAGTGTGAACTCATGGTTTTTATTATACACACAGACTGACAAAGAAACAGAGAGACCTAGCTCTGTTGAAACAGCCTAGAAGCAAAGATACCCCAATAGCAATAAGCACACCTATCACCCAGATATTGGTTTCTAAATACCATTCTCCACTAAAAGAAACCAGAGCTTGAAGAATGGGCTGATAACAGGAAAAGGACAAAATAAACTTGGAAAATCTTGGTGCCAAAATGTAAGGAATTAAGGTGCCAGAAACAATGAGGACAAGTTGGAAGGGCAGATGCCAATTCAAAGGCACTCCCAATGGCCAAATCTATGTATTTCAGCAACAAAATAAACACTGATATGGTTGACATGATGGCTTAAAACCCACAGAATAAGAACCGAGGTGCGCCTGGCCAGCTCAGTCAGTACAGCATGTAACTCTTGATCACGGGGTCATGAGTTTGAGCCCCATGTTGCGTGTAAAGTTTACTTAAAAAAGGAAAAAAAGAAAAATCCCTAAGTCCATACTGGTATAAATAATTGCACACATAAATACACTAGAGGGAAGTGACAGTTCCTCCTTACAACAGAATGTCATTTAATATATGGAGACAAAATGATAGAAACAGGGCGCCTGGGTGGCTCAGTTTGTTAAGCATCTGCCTTCGGCTCAGGTCATGATCCCAGGGTCTGGGGATCCAGTCCTGCATCGGGCTCCCTGTTTAGCGGGGAGCCTGCTTCTTCCTCTCCCTCTGCACATTCCCAACTTGTGTGCGCGCTTGTGATCTCTCACTCTGTCTCTCAAATAAATAAAATCTTTAAAAAAAAAAAAATGCTAGAAACAAAAATCATTTGGCCAACACCACCATAATAATTGTTGCAAGCAGGAATCATCAATGAAAGGTAAAATTAGGGCGCCTGGGTGGCTCAGTTGGTGAGGCAACTGCCTTCGGCTCAGGTCACGATCCTGGAGTCCCTGGATCGAGTCCCGCATCGGGCTCCCTGCTCGGTGGGGAGTCTGTTTCTCCCTCTGACCCTCCCCCCATCTCATGTGCTTTCTCTCTCTCTCATTCTCTCTCTCTCTCAAATAAATAAATAAAATCTAGATCTTGAAATGAAAAAAAAAAAGAAAGGTAAAATTAGTGGAGGAAAGCATGAGAAATAGGGCTTTGCAGGGTCTCTATCTCCACACAATACACTTACTAACTACAAAGTTAAAAATAGTAACTTTTCTACCAAGAGACATCTGGCAGGTCCCACAGTAACTAAGTGATCAAAGTTGACATTATCAGTAGTAGTGAGACTATCAAGCATCAATACCAGGTGCACTGAGCAGGGAATATCATCACTTCTACCATGTTCTCGCCAAAATTCATAACCTGATTTTAATCAGGAGTAAACATCAAACAAATCCAAACTGACAGGCATTCCACAAAATAACTAGGAAGGGGGTGCCCGGGTGGCTCAGTGGGTTAAGTGTCTGCCTTCAGCTCAGGTCATGATCCCAGGATCCTGGGGTCGAGCCCCACGTCAGGAGCCCTGCTCAGCAGGGAGCTTGCTTCTCCCTCCCCCTCCCCACCCCTACCCAAGCTTGTGCACACGCTTTCTCTCTCTCAAATAAAAATAAAATCTTTAAAAAAAAGAATATCCACCAAGGAGTCTTCAAAGACGTCCAACTTATAAAAGACAAGGTAAGACTGAGAAACTGTCTCAGATTGGAGTAGACTTAGACGGCAGGACACTGAGATACAGCACACAGTCCTGGACGAGAAAAAGGGCAGTAGTGGGACAGTGGGAGAAATTTGAGTAAGCTCTATCAATTAGCTCATAGTATTGTTTCAGTGTGAATTGAAACTGATTGCGATAATCATACCGATAATACAAGATGTTAACATTTCAGGAAACTAAATGAAAGGTATCCATGAACCCTGTGCTAATTTTTGCAAATTTTTTGTTAAGCCGAACATTATTTCAAAATGAAAAACTAAAATACACAGGACGTTTAATTCAAAATAAAAAGACTTCTCTGACTTAAAAGTAAAAATAAAATAAATAACCACTAATTATAAATTATGAGCTTTTCTCCTCAAGGAGCCTAGGAGAAAACATACAGAGAACAGCCATTGGATGTCAACTCTCAGGACCCTCACTACAGCTTCCGTTCACTTGCACAGCTGTGATGGGGACAAGGCTGCTGAGAACTGCTGCCCTAACCCAGGACGAGCACAGAGGATGAACCTCAGGCCTGCAGGGGCGGGTCAGGTTGACCCAAAGGCTGGGCCCCCAGACTGCTGGCCAGCTGCCTACCAGACGAGGCAGTACAACTACATACTGGCAATGGTACCACTCTTCCAAGAAAGCAGACCAGACACATAATGATTTTTTGTCAAATTCTGCCCTCAGTCACCAGTATTCCAGCTCATTCTAGCAAACACCTAAACCTGCACCTGCTCTGTTGCACCCGACAAGGAATAATCACAGTTCAAGGGCCCTCAGTAATGCACATAAGAAGCCACAATGAAAGCCCACCTACAGGCGATCAGCAGGCCATGCAGGCCCTGCATCCACTAGTCAGCCACACCTGCCCCTGCAGTTCACAGGGCCTCAAGCAGAGGATGGTGGTGCCTCGTCCAGCAAGACACCATTTGTGCAACACCTTCACCCATTCCCTCTTCATCCCAACATTCAGAAAGCAGGTAAAGAACCAAGGACCATAAGCAGGTGAAGGAATATTATGGTTTAAGTGTCCAAAGAAAAGCCTGTTAAAGGGGCTGACACATAGAGCCACACCCAAGGAACTCACACTGATAAAATTTCCGTTACGAAAGCAAGAACCTATTCTGACACTTGTCTTCAGTCAATCCAAAATCATAGAAGATAAGACATTTAATAGGGGCGAAAACATAAAAATACATTCCCTTTTTGTAAAGTGAAACTCTCTTTCCCCACCTTTGATAGCCGGCAACAACCAGAAGATAAGCAAAATGTTAAACCACAGCGCTAAGGAAACCCACCTGTGCTGCTCCTGCCCCATCGGGGGTGTCACCGCACGACTCGTCTTTGCAAACGTCCCCTCTTCCCAGGAGTCCACCATCCTCGGTGGCTACCGGGCTCTCCTCCTGGACAGGCGCATCGACAGCCGGGCCCTTCCTCTTCGCCGTCTTTTTCTTCGGATGCGCACAGTCACCTTTTGTTTTTCTCTGTCGGAAGTGAGCAAGCTGCGCAAAAATGTAGAGAAGTAGTAAAGGCAAAGGTAAGTGAGAAAAAAGTAACAGAACCACAAAGCCAATAAGCTGGTGGGGAACATGAGGCTCTGGGGCTGGCTCAGTGTACTCAGCCAAACCTCACCAGACCCGCGTCAACCGACAGATCCCGGTCCCACAAACTCTGCCTTCATTAATATCCGCAATACTAGCATTTAAGTTAGAATTCTATCTGAAGGAACTGCTAATTATGCCTATGTACGGACAAAAGAAAGCAATACGGCCAACTTGCAGAACAGCTTTTCTTGCCCCTGGCAGTTCACAGAAAAATACGATTTAAAAAAATACATCTATTTAAAAGAATGATAGCTTATTCAAGGCATGCTTAAGGTTTAAAACTACATAAATGCTAAATCTCTTTTTGCTCCCATTTTCCCCCCAGTCGAGGAAATATGTAGCCTAGCCAAAACTTCCTAGCCACAGATTCTGAGACAAGGTACAGAAATAGCAAAAAATTAATTAAGCCAGGTCAATCTAAGATCCTCCTTTATGGAATCAGATGTTCTATTTTTCACGACACAGCTCACCAATGCACCAGGGACCTCCACAGAATGTCACCCATCAGAAGACACAACCTAGCTCTGTTCAGTCCCTCAAACTGAAGAGTTTTAGACTCTGTTCACACACTGTCTCCCACTAAGATCTTATTCAAAGGTATGAGATCTAATATCAGCTTTTCATGAGACACTGGCTCCTTCAAATGACAACTGTGCTCATAAAAACAAACGCATTTAAGAAATATTTGTGTAAATGTAACAGAAATGCACACTTTCACAGACACAGAAAAATTACATAAGGCCATTTACATGAGAAAAACTGTGTCTCCAGGACAGCCTGCCTTCCAAACCAGCCCCATATTCCTCATTTTATGCCCCACTCCATCACATCTGTCCCCAGGTTCCCTCCCACATCACCATCCTCCACTCTGGCCTGGGGTCTCGAACAAGTGTGGAGCTTCCTTAGGAGGCCCAGCCTGAAGGAATGGCTCCAGGTGCCCTGTTTCTTCCGGCAACGAGGTGAACCTTCCTCATCACCCTAAACACTCCTTTAAGCACGTTTACGCATGCTTACAAACCATGGCAAGCTCGGGGAATACACACGTCAAATATTAAACTCCGGCTCATTTTCATCTCCTGGCCCATGTACATGCACATGTAAAGAAGAAAAGAACATGCCACCACTACCCTCTTCAAACCCGTCACAAGTTTCTGCTTCACAGGAAGCCTGAATGAGGCCCCTCTGTCCTCTGCCTGTCACCCTGCCATTAGATGCTGCTACACCAGTCACTACGTGTTGTGAATGGTCCCTTTAATGCCCTGGCCCTGGGGTTCCCTCCAAGGAAGAAACGAGCACTGAATATCTCCTAAGAGCTGGTCCATATGAAATTCCCAATGTCTGGCCGCATCTGAGCTCAAGCACAGGAACTTCACATGGCTCTACCCACTAACGGGGTGGCACTGTACAGACTCTCGCTCATCCCTTGGCAGAACAGATAAGCAACTTCCCACACACAACCTGAATGGAGTGGGGCCAGGAGTCACAGCCAAAGTGCCTGCTTGATCCACTCTGCCTCTACAGCTGGGTGTTCCCGGGTCTTGGCCCAATCCCCACCATATGCCCCCCTGACAGAAAGTACCAGTGTTTACGTGAAAACTGGGGCAGAAGCAAGATGGAAAATGCATCCCTGGAGCCACACGACTCCAGGAGCACAGTGAGTTCCTTGGGGCAACCACAACCTAGGGTCCCAGCAGACTCTGTCCAGGTGTGGAGCTTCCTTAGGCGGCCCAGCCTGAAGGAATGGCTCCAGCAGAGCTCCTCACCTGGGCCCCAAACAGCAGTGGGGCCACAAGAGCTCCCGGACCCCAGAGAGTATCAGGCAGTAGGTCGGCAGGAGGTACTCTGCAATGTAAACAATTCATGTGTTCCTGGGCCCCACTCCAAAACTTTTTATACTTAAAAAAAACAACTGCATTCTTCCAAGTGAAACGACAATGTGCACGTAGTTTTAAGTGGACGGCAGCGGAGATCAGCCCTAGAGGCAGGTAAGTCCCAGCTCCCGTGAGTCATCCAGGAGTCCCGAGTCCTGGGAGGCGGGGCTGGGGCAGGTGCGGCTGCACTGCTGTGCGACGCCCGGCTGTGCGGGACCACGAGGACGCGCGGGGGGGAGAGCGCCGTTCCCTTCACTCTCTACCGGGATTGGAATGTGGCCGGGCGCTCAGGGACGGCGCGTTCCTAGGCCACCAGTGTCCATCAGGGCGCCACCGGCCGAGATTTCCCGGCCACTCGAGAGGCGGCTGCGCCAGCTTCCCTGGAAACGCCGGGGGGCGCGGGAGGGCGCGGCAAGGCCTCGAGAGAAGGCGGGAACCCCGGAGGCGGCGCGCGGCCGAGACCCGCCCCCACCCCCACCCGCCGGCGCTGGCCCTCCTCCGCCGGGAGCTCCCACGGGCGTCGCCCCGCCCCTCGCGCAGGCGCAGCCCCGCGAACCCGGCCTGCCCCGCGCCGGGCCTCCTCGCGCCACCCCACCCCCACCCCACACGTCCTCAGCCGGTGACTGGCTGCGGCCGCCACAGGGGCGGAGCCGGGCAGAGGGCGGCGGATTCAAGATGGCGGCGGCCAGGAGGCGGCCTCCAGCCGAGTCGGCGGGAAGGGCAAGACTCTGGCAGCGGTCCCTGCCTGCCCGCATCCGCTCCCAGCACGGAACAGAAGCAGTCACCGGAACCTGCCCTTGGAAACCCACGCTGGGACAGCGGGAAGAGGAGGAGGCGCTGCCGTTTACCTTCGCTCTCCCGGCCTCCACCTTTCTGCGTCGCTGCTCTTGCTCATCTTCTTCCATTTCCCTCCGGGGCTTCTCACGGGTCGCCCGAGAGGTGACGGGATCGACACGCCGCCGCCTTCGCTTTATTTACACTCCCTCCCCCTAGTCTGGGCTCGCCCTCCCCCCCGCGACAACTGTCACGCAGACGTGAGCCCAGCTCCGCCCCCGGCGTGCGCCGTCTACCCCGCCGCCAATTGGGGCGGGGGGTCGCGTTTCCTGCCCTCGCGCACGCGCAGTCAGGGCGGTGCGACCCGGATGGAGCTTCGCCCGCCAGCCGCTGGCCTCCCATTGGCGGGATGACGATTCCGCCTCCCAGCCGGACCAATGGTGGAGCGCAGAGGCCTCGGAACCCTCTGTGATTGGTCGGTTTTTAAAGAGGCCGCAGCTGCCCAATGGGAAGGCGGCGGGCGCGTAGGGCGGGTGCGCTGGCGCCAGCTCCGGGGCCGCCCCGGTTCCTCGAAGGGCCTTGGAGCGAGGGTGGCGGTCAGGCTTCGTCCGCCGTCTCGTTAGCTGGGAGTTCGACGTGGCCGCTCCGCTTCCGTGAAGGGGCTGCGAGGCCGCCCACCGTCGTGTCCACCCAGAGCAAATCCAGGAGGCCGCGACTTCGCGCCCCGCTCCCTCTCTGCGAGGCCCCGGCGGTGGCGGGAGCCTAACTCCCGTTCCCCGGGACGCTCTCTGGGACCGCCAGCCTGGATGTCCTTCCTGTGCGTCCCGCCCGCTGCGTGCGACTTGTGTCCGGGACAGCCAGGGTCTGTAGCGGGGAATCGGGCCCCGAGTTGCAGAGGCTGCACCTGCGCATGTTTCTCACTGGGGACACAGTGTCGCGTCCAGGTCTCTGATGCGCAGCGTCTGCCTCCAGCTTGCCCCTACCGGTGGGGGGGTCCCACGGGCGTGGGTCCGCTCGCGCTTCCGCCGCAAAGCAGTCCCCCGGATCAGAGAGTTAGGAGAGACCCCACGTGGTGAGAGGCTCTGAAGGGCAGGAAAGGCAAACTTACCCTTGTCTACTGTTAGCACAGGAACCCCCGGGTGGCGGGGGCTCCCTAGGGCCGACTTGCCCAGCGGCCTGTGGTCCCTTGAGAAAAACGTGAGGATGCAATTTTGAATGATACTGTAATTGTACCCAGGTCTAAATCCCCAGAGAGAGAGCTAGTTAAGTGAACATCAAAACAGTCTTCTTACAGAAAAGAATTAAGGCTTTGGGGTGTTTGGGTACATTTCAATTGTATCGTAAATGGCTGTTAAAAAGGGATGTGCTTCCTGCTCCATTTTGCTATGAACCTAAAACTGCTCTAAAAAATAAAGTCTGTGGGGTGCCCGGGTGGCTCAGTGGGTTAAGCATCTGATACTCGATTTCAACTCAGGTCATGATCTCAGAGTTGTGGGATCGAGCCCCATATCAGGCTCCTTGCTCAGAGGGGAGCCTGCTGGAGATTCTCCCTGTCCCTCTGCCCCTTCACCCCACTTGCCCGCATGCTCTCTGTGAAATAAATCTTTAAAAAATAAATAATAAAGTCAGTTAAAATTTTAAAAGAAAAAAGGACTATAACTTTGGTTATGCATTCATGGTCTGTGTGGGAATCTGAAGTCTGAAATCATTGTTCCTCAGCTTCAAACTTCACTTGAACCTGTTTGTCCGGATAGGGAAACAATGCAAGGTTTTTATTCCTTGCCCACGGTTTGGTTTAACAATCCAGTGCTGTTGGTGTAATCAACCTCACTGGAAGCTGATAAGCTGACTGACAATCCGAGCACCTTGTGTTGCTGTAGTGTAACCATGCCGAGTGAGCGTTCTGCCCCACGGGCACTGGGGAAGCTCGGGGCTTTCCCCCAGTGGTGATCCTGTTTGCCTAAATGGGCTTCACATTCATGGTCTCACTTCAACTTTACTCATTCCTGTTGGAGTGTCCTGTTTACCGTTCAATGGAAAATGAAAGCAGTGTGTACATAGAGCAGCACCACAGTTCAGTTGCAGGACTAGGGAACTGCAGAGCTCAGGCAGATGAGAAGGATAAGGTGGGAGTCCCAAGCTCGGGGAGAGGCATGGGAAACTGAACAGCTGTGCCTCTGTACCCCATGGGAGATGTGAACACCGCTGGGGCCGACGGGCTGTGGAAAGCCAGTTCAGATGACACAACCTCGAGTGGCCCGCCGCAAGAGAGGAAGTGGCACAAAAAGCAAAATTGCAGTGGATGGCCTTGCTCTGGGCAGTGTTGCAGTAGACACGTGCTGGGTTTTGGGGGTTCCTTCTGTTCTGCTCACCTGTCCCCTGCCTTTACTTGGACAGGGTTTGCCTGCAGGCTGCGTGCTCCCTGCTTGCTCTATCCGCTGAGACTGAATAAGGGTAGTGATAATAGTGCCCCTTCATCAGTGTGATAATGACAACCTGGCTGACACAAGCTCATCTTTCACCCTCAGTGGGAATGTGTGAGCGTAAGCAATCACAGCCTAGACAAACCTCCCTCAGAGGGTGCTGGAAACCCAAACACCAGAAAAATACGTCTCCATTGAGTCAGACCACAGCCCTGTGGTAAGTGCAGCTTTCAGTCTTAGCTTGCAGAATCCAGTGGTTTGAGCAAACATGGGTGTGGGTGGGCTCACAAGACCAAGGGTCGGGCAGGCAACACTGGCAGAGCACTGGGTCAACTTTCCAAGACCAGTTACGGTCCCAGAGCCTGACTTTTGCAACCTCTACATGTTACAATACATGTGAGACTCCGTGGGGTGCATGCCCAGAGTCTTCCCACATGGGTTTGGTCCCTGGTCTTCAATCTATATTCCTTAGAACCCCAGAATCATCTCCATGGTCATTCTAGACTATGTTATTGATCTCTCAGTTTATTTTTAACAATTAAAACAGTGTCCAAATAAATGATGTAGATACCCCCAAGGAGGAAAACCTAACCCTCACTCCTTAAGTATGAGCTGTGCACAATGACTTCCTCCCACAGAGGACTGTGGAAAGGGGAGAAAAATAGTAACTGTGGAGTGAAGAAACCTAGCTGGGTGATCAGGATCGGAGTTAGCAGTGATGAGTCAGGGTGACCACATGCACTTTGAGAACTCTGTTATACCATCTTCCTGGTTTTCCCGTAAATATAAACTTTAAAAACTTAATTGTTTTAAAGATTTTATTTATTTATTTATTTGACAGAGAGGGTGAGAGAGGGAACACATCAGGGGGAGTGGGAGAGGGAGAAGCAGGCTTCCCACCGAGCAGGGAGCCCGGTGCGGGACTCGATCCCAGGACCCTGGGATCATGACCTGAGCCGAAGGCAGACGCTTAACGACTGAGCCACCCAGGCGCCCCAAAATTTTAATAAATAGCTTTATTTAAAAAAAAAAACAGTCTAACAAATTCACACTGGGATGTGTTATGTATACCATTTGGATTATCTCCTAGCTACCTTGAGTAGCTTAGCTAAATTAGTTTTTGTTTACACTCAGACCTCCTGTTTGAATGTTAGGGTTATGATACATATAAATCCATAACCACTGAAGTGTATGGGCAATTTAAGGGACTTTCAGCCAAATTTTGGCCATCTGATACAAGTTTTTGGTTCAGTTGCATTGAGGAGGGGGCTGTAAGTGTGCTGATCCCTCATTCCCACCCCAGCCCTGGACTGCTATCACTGGATCCAATATCCAATCTGTTCTATCCACTTCATTAGCTGGGTTGATTAATTTGTAAATCTGAAATGTAAAGCTGGTAGAAATGAAGAGCCACTTTGATCAGTTTTGTGCCCTGCGCTCTGTGTGAAGGATCATTTATAAAAGACTTCTCTTGCTGGGTGTCGCGCCCCCCCGCTCCCCGCAGTGCTGGAGTGCATGTCTACAGCCACCAACTTCTGACCTGACCAGGGGTCCTGTCCCTAGGTGCCCCCACCCCTCTCTGGGCCAGGATCCCCACAGGGCAATCCCAATCCTGCAATCACATCCCTGCGTGGAGGAGTGGTAGCCCCGTGTGGCCCTGTGTCCTGCAAGGTGATGGCTAGGAGCCTGTGGGGTGCACCCACCCAGAAGCCCCACCAGGAAAGCCCCTAAGCAGGTCATTGGTCAGCTCCCTGTGCTGCCCCTTCTGCCGCCCAGAATTTCCTGAAATCGCAGGGACATGGTGCCCCCACCCTGTCCTCCTGGTGTCCAGGCTTCATGCCCATCTGGCTCTGAGGGTCCCTAGAAGGGCTGGGGCCTACTGGCCCCTTGGAGGTAACAATGGATGAGGGGAGGGTAGGCCCCTGCAGTGCATGGGGGATGGATGCAGCTGCCCCCCACCCCTACGCCATACTCTTCTGGACTCAGTCCTGAGGGTGGGGGCAATGCATGGGGGAATCAGGACTGTCCCCCCCCCCAGGACCTCACTCTGTCCCCTCAGGCTCCAGCTGCTGCTCATCACCTTCCCAATAAGCCCCACCTGGCTACACCTGGAGATTAGCAGTGTTTATAGGCAACTCCTGTGGCGGGGGGGAAGGCGGGGCTGGGGAAGGACTCTCAGTGGAAACCCAGCAACCTGGGGCCCTCCCGTGTCTGCAGCACCCAGCAACCGCCAAGGCAACGCGGCGCTCTGGGAGCTGTGCCCACCCTCCCACAGGGGGTAAGCAGCGGGCCAGTCTCCAGGGGGTAAACTCAGCCCAGCTCAGGAACCCTTCAAAGACACCACGGTTGGGGCTGCTTCTCCTTGCTTGCTGATAACCTGAGACCCAGGGAGGAGGTGGGTCTGTGGTGTCCCAGGATGCTGGACTCCTCAGTGGCAGATGCGATGACCCGACTGACCCTGAAACTCTTGGAGAAGGTAAGGCAGTGGGGGCAATCATGTATTCAACAGCTTGTCAAAGAAGCACAGATTCAAAAGGTAAGTTATTATGCCTGTCAGTATACTCCTGCTTCCAAGGGAAAACACTTTCCTGTGCTTTTTAGCCTTATGATGAAGGCCTGTGGTCTCTTGGTTTTCTCTGCCTTTATGCAGAACCAACTAGGTTCTTCTGGCAGCTTCTCAGCTGGGAGGCTGGACACACCCACGGCCCAGAGCATTTTCAGGGCCCACAAACTCCCCTGCAGAGCCTCCTGGCTTCAGTGTTTGGAGAAGACAGGCCCTGGCTGGTGCAGGGTCTGCAGCCGCGTAGGCCGGCCCTGGGGCCCATCCTAAAAGCCATCTTCCTGTCTTCCACGGCCAGCCTGCCCACCAGCACAGCGCCTCC